GGAATGGCTGCAGCTGTCACAGCACAGCATCCAAGCCCAACCCGACAATGAAGGCAGGAAAAAATCTCACGTGGCTCTTAATTATGCTCGATCCAAGAGCAGCATGCGTCTGCACCGAAAGGGAACAATTCCTGTTAAGGAGGGGACAGCAGCTTCTTGTTTCCAGTTTGCCTGCCACAATACACACCCAAAGCAGTGCCTCTTAGAAACCGGCTAATTTTTCTGGAATTCCAGATAAGCTAAAATAGAAAAGAGCCAAACAGTAGAAATTGGGTTGCAATTGGCTTGTTTTAGAAGTCCTTCTTGAGCTGTCATTTCACACCCACAATGACAGGCTCATACGCGGTACAGTCAGTTGACTTCATGATAAAAATCACTACTAAAAGCAAGGAACTAGATGAAAAATAAGCACGGGTTGCTTGGTTGGTTTGGTTTTTTGATGAAGAGATGCACTGAGTTATTTGCATGTTACACAGCTGGTTTGGATTCCCAGGGACTTGTGATAAAAGATCAAAGCATTTCATGTTTGCATCTAAAAATTTCTTGAGACAAAGGTAGTTAACCCGTGACTGGCTACAAAGAAAGCAGAACGGAAGAAATATTTCAACAAAAATGTGAAGAAAATAAATGCATTGCAGTGGGGAGGCTGATAGAACAGAAAATCTCTGTCAGACTTCCAAGATAGCTACCACGCCATCTGCTCCAGCATCAGAAGTTAAAAACACTTGAAAGTCTGCAGAACCATCATGGTGCTCGCTAAGTCTCTCCCCTGAGCAAATGCAGGGTGATGTAGACAGAGGTTTTGCATGGGCAGAAGGAGCGCGTGTCCCCGTGTCAGAAGCACGATGGGCTGCGGGCGCTGGCTGGAGGCGGCAGATGGACCTTACTGACTAAGCGCTGGCACTGCTGAAGAAATAAGGGGGGGCCTTGGTCTTCAAAAAGGCATTGAGGACGCCGGGCTCCTCCTGCTCCGCCAGCTCGGGGGTGAGCGCGCATCTCGTGGCTGCCCAAAGGTCCGGCAGGGCGGGGGCAGCTCTGCCGCCAGGGCTGGCAGCCCTCCCCACTCCCGATCCAGGACCGTCCTTCCCTCTACGGATCCTGGGTGAACTCCCAGCGCTTTCCCCTCTTCTAAACATGTTCTCAGGTTCACCCCAGCTGCGATTTAAGCTTTGTGCTGTAGCAGCCAGCACAGTGCTGTTATTTCACCACTCTGACGGGCAGCGGGCTTTCCTCCTCCTCCTGTCAGTCCTGTTGTTGCCTGGAGCTGACGCCAGCCCCGCGCATCCGAGGACGGTGATGCTCACCGGCTTTCCGCCTCTGGACATGAGTGACGCTGCGGCACTTGGCACCTTTCTGCTGTAGCTCAGGGGTGGCTTTGGGAGCTGCTCTGCCATCCCTGCACGGGGAAAGCAAGGCTGGGAATGGTGGGGTGTGCTCTGGAGAGAGCCACCTCGTTAGCCCAAATTAATGCACAGAGTTAGATTCTCACAGGGATTTAGGCTGTTATGGCAACAGGCCCAAAAGCATTGTGGAGAGTTTTTGTGTTTTCCTTGGAGACTAATAATGCATTGAGCATGCTGTGAATTGCAGAGAGGCGTTGCCGTGAGGCTCGTGGCAGTGCCAAGCTGCGCTCGGGGCATGCACCTGGGAGCGTGATTCTCATTTCAGACCAGTTACTCTGGGTGCTCGGGGACAGGGTTCTTTGCTGGTCCTTGCTGGTCGCTGGAGGCTCCGTTTTGACTCACGCTCTTTATTCCTGCATGCACCGACCTCTGTAGTTTCATCCTGGTGATGTCTTGTTGCTCTTTGTAGGAAGCATATATGCCCCTCCACACACGATAAAGAGACAGTACATGCTGTTTGAAGAGAACTGAGAGACAAAATCTCAACAGCAGTTAGCAAAGGGAGAGGTTTGTTTATTTGTCACTGAAGTTCAGTCTTCCAGTTAGGCACGTGGAAGATGGACCAGGCACAGAGGAGGTCACGGGCAGCACCCAAAGGGCCGTGCCATTTGCGACAGACCAGCGCTCTCTTTTCTCAGCGGTCAGCCCCACCTCCGCCATCCCTCTGGAGAACCAAGGTTTCGGTTCATCTGGCAGCCCATCGGTGTGTGGTAGAGGGATGAGGTCTGGAGGAGGTAGGAGCGGTCGGTCGCTGGCAGCGGAGTGTGCCGGGAAGCAGAGCTCAGGCGCCACGCGTGACCCTGCAACACGAGGTAATAGCAAATGGCAAGTCCATAATTGCTAGGTTGAGATCCGATAGAACGAAAGGACAATCTACTTCAGGTGCTACAGATTTAGAGGAACTGCCTTCCCTCAGTGTCGTGCCGTGTGTCAGAGTCTGGCTGAGGCTCATCACTGGAGACTTTCCGCATCGGCTGATGGCCTGTTCTGTGGGCGTGCACGTTGGTGGGGAGATGCTCTGCTCTTTCTTGGGTACCGCTGAGTTGTGTAGAAGGGCTCCAAGTGCTGCAGGAGCTGGTCGGGCTCCTTCTGCAGACTGCCCGTCCCCCGGGCCGAGGTCTGCCCATTGCCTGCTGCAGCATTTCGCAACAGGCAAGCGTTAAAGATAAAAGTCAAAAATGAACATATTTATGACAAGTAATTAACTGTTAACATTGCAGTCAATAGGAGTGGAGTTGGATAAAAGAGAGCCATGCTTTCAGCTACCGGTATTTTAGATAAACTCAAATAGAATCTCTCTCCATTTCAAGTTAAAAACTGCCAGGATGGTTTCACTGGTTTTGCAGCTGGTCCCTCACCTTTTAGGGGACCCTTGTCCTCCGCGCTGCTTTCTCCAGGGGATTTCTGTTTGGCTGTGTGCTCGTTATCTCCGCAGGGGTCTGTGCAGGGTCCAGCCTGCTCTGCAAGGATTGAACGCAAGTCATAAATTCAATACTTAATCAAGACATCAGGTTTCAAGCCTGCTCCCAGGGGATTACTGGTTCCTTTGTTCAACTTCGGAGATTCCCTGAGCAGAGCTATATCCTGCATAGACAGTAAATAAAACTCAGCAATGATTAGTCTCATGCTTAACTATAAACAGATGCTTCTCCGTGTTAAGGGAGAGGTTTCATTTTGCCCGTGTGATCGCATTTAAACATCAGTGAGGAGTGAGTTTCTATCATGAAGACTGTGTTTTACAAAATTTGCTATCACAGTAGGAATGGGTAGTGAAAGATTGCCATAAGAGAGCATAATAACACAGCAACACAATTCAAAGAAAGCCTTGTAAAAGGTCTTTACAGACCAGATGGGCATCAAATTAAGCTGATAGGTGGGGTTTCAGAAGAAATAAAAGGAGGCGATTCTGCACGCGGTGCTGGTAAGCTGCAGAGCTCGCTGCTGCAGGATATCGAGAGCGTGAGAAATTTGCACGAGTTCAAAGAGCACGGCCAAGTGCCTGGCAGAAGAAAGTCCGCCAAGGGTTAAACACAAAGGCAGTCTGACTCAGCCAGCTCTTGATCAGCAAATTGCTGGAAGCTGACAGAGTATTTGGGAGGGGCGAAGCAGCGCTGCATGCTTGCTGTGTTCCTATATGCTTCCTCAGGCAATTATTCTTGGCCGCTGCCAGGCAGCACGCTGGGCTAGATGTGCCTTTCATCTGCAAGACTGGAGCGGAGCTGGAGAAGGGGAGTATCGAGGCAGTGTCGTCAGCAGAATACGGGGAGTGAGCAGGCTGCACAGAGAGGAGGAGAGGCAGATGAGTAAATGGATGTTGTTGTTTATGCAGGACTCGGGTGGCAAGCACGCAGATACAGGGAGCAGAGGAGCTGTGTCAGAATGGCGAGTTGCAGGTAGTGAAGAAAGCGCCTGCCAAGAATTTGCTTTCCTCCCACCTCTCCCATCAGTGATCGCTCCTCAGTGTGGATTTTCTTGCTGAGGAGCAATAGGAGACATTCGTTTTCATGGGGAACAGACATTATTCCCACTACTCCAAGGAGCGGGGTTGTAGAGAAAGTCAGCTTGGGAACCAGAACTGGAATGAAGCCACTCTTCTTCTGTCATAGGATAAAGGATCATGCAAGTTGGAAGGAGGAGGTCTCCAGTCCAACCTCCAGCTCAAAGCAGGGTCAGCTGTGAGATCAGATCACGTTGCTCAGGGTTTTATCCAGTCTGGTCTCAAAAACCTGCAAGGGTGGAGGCTGCACAGCCTTTCTGGGCAGCCTGTTCCGCTGATGGGCTGTCCTCATCATAGAATTCGCCTTTCATCCACCCAGAACCTCTCAGTTCAGTTTTGCCCATTGCCTCTTGTCCTCCCACCATGTACCACTGCAGAAAGCCTGGCTTTATCTTCTTGATACCCCCCCCCGTAGGTACCAGAAGGCTGCTCTTAGGTCCCCCCAAAAGCCATTCCTTCTGCAGGCTGCACACGTTCAGCTCGCTCAGCCTCTCCAGACAGAGCAGGAGCTCCAGCCCTGACCGTCTTGGTGGCTCTCCAGTGTCCCCAGACGGGATGCAGTGCTGTAGGTGTTCTCCCATCAGGGGGAGTGCGAGGGATAACCTCTTTGCTCTGTCCGCTGCCTTTGCTCCTGTTCACGCAGCCCAGGACGCTGTTGGCCTTTGCTGCTGGGGCACGGGGCCAGCCCACGGTCACCTCCCTGCATACCGAGCCCCCCACGTTCTTTCCCACAGAGTTTTTCCCCGCCAGCCAGGCCTCAGCCTGTCCGGTTGCGAGGGGTTCTTCCTCCTCAGGTGTGGGACTTTGCGGCTGTCCTTGATGAAATTCATGGAGTTCTGCCGGCCCATTCCTCTATAGCCTGTCGAGGTCCTTTTGAGATGTCTCGCGGGTCATTGAACTTGGTAGTGCTTCAGATACCATTTTCCATAGTGCTCCCCTCATTTAAGAAAAAAAATGGAGGAGAGATGCTTATGGCACAGAAAAATAACAAGTGGGGAACAGAGAGAATAAAATGAGTAATGGTAGAAGCAGGTATGTAAAATAAAACAAAAACTAATACCCACACCATGAATATGTTTAGGTTATCTAACTGTCCCCTTCACCCTTCCTTCACTCGAAATACTTTGCTTTTAACCTATTAAAAGCTCTTCCCAGCAGGGACTGTGAGCTCACCGGTGGAACGGGGGCTGCCGCACCTACAGCTGCTCATGGCCGACAGCCGAGAATTTGCAGCAGCCCGTGACGGCTGGTGGTCAGTGTCTCCTCTGGCCTGGCAGCCCCCGGGCCCGGCAGCTCTTTGCAGGGCAGGCGATTTGGGAAAGACGAGCCAGCTCTCCAGTTTTATCTCCTGAAATAGCTCTGCACTTGCCGCAGTAGTACCTACCTACAGGGTGGTCAGCACACCCCTAAGACAAGCTCTAATGGCGCTAGGCCGTGTTCGGTAACAGTCTGGGCGTGGCAACAGAGCTCAGCGCTGCATAAAGTTCCTTGTTTCAACTCTTGGCCGTTCCCAGGTGAGAAGTAGAAATAAGCATAAAGGCAGGACTTTTTTTGTGGATCTTCACGCTGTTAAGAACGTCACAATGTCTATGCTGAGTCAAACCATGGCTCCATCTAGTGCAGGATCCTGTCTTAAGCACTGCTCTTAAGCAGATGCCCGGGGAAGAGTGAAAACAGGGCAAGGATATGATATTTCTCCTGAATACTCACCCAGGCCGCTACTGTCTTCAGTTCAGAGGTTTCTGTGCACATAATAGCCCACAAAAAGTGCATCTTCCATGGCTTTGTCCAGTCTCTCTTTGAACTTGTTTCGTGCTTCCAGGTCATTGTGCTACCGTGGTATTAAAAATCCCCAAAGTGTGTTCAGCAAAAATAGCATGACTTTGAACACAGCGATAGCCTGATCAATGTGATGAGATGTAAAGTTCAATGCTTACTGGCCAAAATACTCCCTTTTTCCCCAGCGGACTCTGCATCTGCAGGCATTTGGTGAAATTGCTAATGTAATACGAGGCACAGTTGCCAGAGCACTTTGAATGCTGGTGGACATTACAGAAAAAGCATTAGAGCCAAAAAAGCAGGTGGTCCCCCTGCTGCTGTGCCAAGACGTGGCTTTCTGCCATCGTGAGCATTCTCTCAAGAGCAATTTGAAACCTTGAAAACAGCTGAACTGTGACCGAAAAGAAAGAGGCATGGCAAGCAAGGGATGAGCATGGCAAAGCAGGACTTGGTGAAGAGGGCCAGGCTCGTGCAGGGGGCTGGGGCGAGCTAGGCTGGTTAACTAGCATCCGTGCAAGTACTGACACCGTACGCGCTGTATTAATGGATTTCTTCTCCTATTACTTTACTTGGTGAGATTCTCATACTCTTTCACTGAGTATTAGGAGCACCTGAAAAAGCTCTTGCCGTGCACCCAGGTAGTAAGTTAATAGTAAGAATGGCAGAATCTGGCTTCCTTGGGCACTTCCAATCCTTGAAAGACATAACCGAAGTTTCTGCTAGACCCTGCTTCTGAATTCAGTCTAGCACATTGCGGCATATGTAACCCCTCGGGGGAAAGGGGGGAAGTGCGACAGGAGGAGAGCGAGCGGGAGAGCGCGAGAACCCGCACATGGGAGACGGCAGTGTTTGCTGTGAGTTGCACAACCTGGTCGCACTCAGCTGTCTCGCACATTGGCAGTTGGGTGTCGGGAGGTTTGATCGAGCAAGTGTTCAATTCTGTCGCTGTTGTGTTGGTCTGGAGAGTGTCCAACCTGGTTCGGAGGTGTTGGGCACAACTGTCTGATGGATTTAAAACAATGTAAGACATTGTGAGAGTCTGTGGCCGCGCTTCTGTGCCAAGCAGAGGGCCAGACTGCAAGTGCTTGCACCAAGCAAATGAAAGATGAAGTGAAGAGTCACCTCAGAAAGCAAGTGGGGTGGGGGGAGGAAAGGGATGTCATATATCCAATTTGCAGCAACTGTCGCGCTCTGGATTCTCTAGAGGCGTCCTCTCTGACTTCACTGTTGTTCTTGCTTTCCAGGTGAAGACGAGAAACTTGCTGCTTCTTTGCTAGATGGAAAGTTTCCCCGGAGCACATCGATGCAAGACACTGTTAGGGAAGGACATGGGATTCCACCACCGCCTCAGACAGCCCCACCCCCACCTCCTTCTCCATATTACTTCGACACAGGCCCCCCTCCATCCTTCTCGCCACCTCCACCCCCAGGAAGAGCTTATGATACCATAAGATCAAGCTTTAAGCCAAGCCTGGAGGCTAAACTCCATGGACTCCCCCAGGTCATTAGCGCAGCTGAGATGTACGATCAGGCGAGGACTTCCATTCCTTACCCTGAAAGGCAGAAGAGGGCCCGATCCATGATAATCCTACAGGATTCCTCTCATCTTCCCGTGGAGCCAACAGAGATCCCCCGGCCTGGCCCATCTGCAACCCCTCCGGAGAAGCTGAAGAGGAAGGGGAGAGTGATTGACAACCCTTATGCCAACATGGGTCAGTTCAACGTCAGCTTGTTTGCTCCCACCAAGCCACAGAGGAAGAAGAGTCCTCTTGTTAAGCAGTTACAAGTGGAGGATGCGCAGGAGAGAGCAGCACTGTCCATCACCGGAGGCTTTACAAGGGAGCCCTCTCCCACCCGCAGGAGCCATCGCCTGAGCGGAGTGGAATATCAGCACCACACCGGCATTGCTCAGGTTGAAGCCACAAGCATCCCCTTTGCCACTGCCATCGCTGGAGTCATGAAGGACAGAGACCGTCGTCTGGATGAGAGGCGGAAATCCACTGTCTTCCTCTCGGTCGGGGCCATTGAGGGAAGCCCCCCCAGCAGCGACATGCCATCCTTGCAGCAGTCCAGGTCTATTGATGAGCGGTTGTTAGGAAGCCGAGATGTACTACTGCCTTCCCCTGTCTCAGCTTTAAAGCCATTAATTAGCAGCTCATCCTCAACGTTCATTCACCCTCTAACAGGAAAGCCCTTGGATCCGAACTCACCACTAGCGCTTGCGCTGGCCGCAAGGGAACGGGCCCTCTCAACTCAAGTCCCATCCCGGTCGCCCACCCCGATCCACAGCCCAGACTCAGACAGAGCAGCACCCCTGTTTGTGGACATCCAAACCAAAGAACCAGAGAGGGGGGAGTTGGAGAGCTTGGTGTCCCCTGTGTACTCACCTGGAGGCAAAGCAGCAATCGGAACAGACTCTGGGACTTTGGCCCCTACCAAGAGCCAGTGGGGGACTCCGTCCACACTGAGAAAAGAAACCGAGGCAAGAGCAGAAACACCTGGGAAGGAGGAGAAGAAACAAGAAGACAAGAAGTCCATGATTATTAGCATAGTGGATACATCACAGCAGAAGACCGCTGGCCTCATCATGGTTCATGCCACAAGTAATGGCCAAGACGAGATAGGACTTGAGATAAAAGAGGAGAAACCAGCTGTCCCTGAAGCATGCACAGAGCCAGCAGAGTCCCCCAAAGCAGAGACCCAGCCCAGTCCCGTGGGAAAGCCTCCAGTCAGTCCAGCCTCTGACAAGACGCTGGGACAAGGGAGTTCGGAGGAAGAAGTGGAGCCCTACACGGTTACCCTCCCACCAGCTCAGTTGTCTTCAAGTGACGAAGAGACCAGGGAGGAGCTGGCCAAGATAGGGCTGGTGCCTCCACCAGATGAGTTTGCAAACGGGGTACTGGTCACCACCCCTGGCACACCAGTCAGCCACCTGGCTACGCCTAGCACGCCATCCATACCAGCGGCAGCAGTAGCACCTTCTACCACTGGCGGAACACCCTCAGGGAAGCCCTCTGATGCCCCCGTAGCCCCAGAGTCTGCTGCAGACTCGGGAGTGGAAGAGGTGGACACCAGAAGTTCAAGTGACCATCACCTGGAGACCACAAGCACCATCTCTACGGTCTCCAGCATGTCTACGTTGTCCTCAGAAAGCGGGGAGCCTACTGACACATACACTTCCTTTGCGGATGGACAAACTTTTATACTCGAGAAGCCACCAGTGCCTCCAAAGCCAAAACTCAAGTCCCAGCTCAGCAAGGGGCCAGTTACTTTCAGGGACCCACTTTTGAAGCAGTCTTCGGACAGCGAGCTCATCTCCCAGCAACATGCGGCCACTCTGGCATCAGCCAGCATTGGCCGGCCACGCTACCTCTTTCAGAGAAGATCCAAGCTATGGGGGGACCCCATGGAGAGCAGGCCCATCCATGGGGCTGATGATGACAAGCCAACTGTGATCAGCGAGCTAAGTTCCCGACTACAGCAACTGAATAAGGATACACGATCACTGGGGGAGGAACCAGCCGGGTCCACGTTAGATCCCGGGAAGAAGTCACCTGTGGTCGCAGCACGGTAAGATGCTGGTCGCTGGCCAGGGGAGGGGGCGGGTGCAGGGCTTAGGCACCCAGGGGGACAGGGAGGTGCATAAGCAGAGTGTAACTGTGCCGAGTAATCCAGGCTGTGTTTTGAGGGGCATTTCAGAGATGTCAGGACTTCTCAGCTGCACGGGGAGAGACAAGGCTGAGATATGCTTTCCAGAAGTTGGTGTGATTTGTTCATGGCTCCTCTCTATGCACCGCACACGTAGCGAGCTCGCACTGTTGCTTTTTCCCTTTAAATTGCCTTCCTGTTGTTTCATGTTCCTCCTCTGTCTCGATGCTATTGTGAAGCTGCTGTATTTAGTCGTGGGTTTCACTTCTAAATGTTTGCTCCTGAACAATTAATAACAATGTGTGTTTCTCTAGTGCTTTTCATTTCAAAGGATCTCCAAATGTTGTCAGACTACGTATTAGAGCTCTGGTCAGTCCCTGCTGAGCGGGAGCCATCGCGGGGGTGGTCTGTGACGGCCCTTAGAAAGGACACAGCAGCACCGCCCCGACCTTTGTGGGCTGAGGCAGAGCTCGGCACCGTTTCTGGAACGAGCCAGCTCTGGTGACCTGCAGGGAGGTGTTTTGGCAGGGCGCAGCTGCGGGGTGCTACACGTGGCTCCGGGCAGGGGGTGCAGCCGGGCATCCCTCCCGTGGGCGCTGGCGGCGGCCGTATCCTGCTGAGTGCAGTGCTGTGTCACGCAGGTCTCTGTGCCAGCGGGCCAGTGAATTAAGCTGCTGGCTCAGAGGTACCTACGCAACGCCTAAGTGTGGTAGATCCTCACCCCTGATTCTCCTCCTTCACGCACAGACCTGTGCAGAGCCCGGCTGGCCCAGGAGATCTGAAAGGTCACAGCAGAGGGACCCCAGGACACACAGGAGCCTCTTTCTCTTACAAAGTCCTACTTGGGTTCCCTCGTCCCTCACGGCACTCAGGAGACACCGGTTCTCTCTCCTGTGCCGGAGCTGTGACCATCACGCTCCCCGAAGAGTGTGGACCTCTCTGTGTCCCTCACGCTGCCCCGTGCTGGTCTCCTGCCCGGCGTGTCCGCCGTGCCAGGCCACCCACCGACCTGCCGGCACCCGGCGTCTGTTCTGACCTGCTGCCCCCATGGCAGCAGAGGCCCCTTTGCTTTCACCCCAACATCCCCACCTAACTGTAAAACTAAACCAAACCAAAAAACTCTACATTAGAGCCCGAGATTTGAGAGCGAAGCCTTACAAGGCTTTGAAATTTGAAGTTACAGCAGGAAGTGACCCAAAATCTCTGGTGTCACTCTGCCCTGTCAGGATGCAGCCACACAACACCTCCCACAGTAGCAAAGCCCCAGTAAGCCGGTCCCATCGGCGTCACCGGTGGGTGGTTGCTGGGGGTCAGCGAGGCGCCAGGTCAGCAGGGAGCTCTGAGCTAAAGGGAACCCTTCTTTTGGAAAGGTTTTTCTAACCCAATCATCACAGTGATGGGTTGCAAGTCCACACGGTGCTAGCACAGCTGGTGACATTTCAAGCTGTAGCCTGGGGGACAAAATGTCCTCTCCTGACATGCCCCCAGGGGAGCGTTGGGGTAGCTCCATCCTTCAGCTGGCCCACGTCTCCCTGCCAGTGCCTGTGTTGGCACTGCCAGCCTGGCTGCACTGGCGATCCACCTCTCCTAGGTGCCCAACTTGTAGTTACCACCGCAGTGTGGAATAAAATCTCTGGATCTTGCCCCGCTACGCTGTTCTGTCTCTCTGGATTCGGCGCCAAATGCACATTACGGCCATTCCCAGGAGGCCAGTGTCTCACACGTGGTCCCTTCTCCCTGCACTGCTCAGTCGGGAACCGCAGGGTCCTGTGCTGAACGCACTTAGTTTAAATGCATTTGGGGACCCTTCTGAAATCAGGCACGCCATGCCTCATATTCCTAAAAAGTGCTGACCGTGCATATCTTCACTGACGCTAGAGAACCTGGACGGTACCAGCTTTTAATGGCAACCAGGCATGGTATCTCAAACAGCTTACCCTTGCCAGGCATTGGCCCTTTGCTGAAGCCTGGTTTGGGGCCCAGCTGGCCCTCGCTCACCCGGGGCTGGTGGAGGGGCTGCTGGGTCGCCTGCCTTCAGCCACCCCGCTGCCTGGCCTCTTGCCTTCCCTGGTCTCCCGTGCCCATGCAGGTCACCACGTACGGCTGATCTGCTGTTCCTCATGCAGCCTCCTGGCAGAGATGTGCAAGTACCCTCCATTTCTAGGGGATACCCCTTGTCCATCCTCTCTTTAACCCCTCCTGTCCTCCACCGCTGCTCCCCTTTGATTCCTGTGCTTCCCGCGGGCAGTGTCCTTCCCTCGCCCCCGTCGCTCCCAGGAGCAGCAGACCCTGCCTAAGCTCCCAGCCCGTGACATGGTACTGCTGCATGTCACCTTCCGTAGGGAGGCTGGCCTCCTGCGCCGGGGAAGTGCGGTCCATCCTCCTCTCCTTACCCACCCCACCACCGAATGTTTGGCACCTTCAGCTGTCCTGCAGAGTTAAATGCTCTCATTCCTTTTTCTGGAAGTCATGGCCTTTCATCTCTGAAATTTTTGTGCTCCTGGTTGATGGCAAAGACTCGAAATATTTCCCAGGAAGTCAGCTGTAAACAGAATATTTAATGCTGTCAGCCACTCTCCTTCATTGTGAAAATTCCTCTCTTTTATGAAATTGCTGTAAATTCAGAAAATAATGTAAAGAGCAGTTAGATAAGCTTAGATGACCCATTTCAGGACACGTTTTCCAGCCCCTGGGCCTGTCCTGAGAACGACAGTATTCCCTAAACCTCCCACTCCAGCCACCCCTACGCACAGCAGTGCTGCTAAGGAGGAGCTGCCGCTGCCCCCAGGGCTGGCCCTTGAGCCCCCGCAGGGGCTGAAGGGTGCCGTACCCCTTGGCCAGGCTTCGTGAAAGCCCAGGTGATGCTGCAGCCGGAGCCCATTTGAGCCCCTCCACAGGGCATTTGGAGGCCTAAAGGGCTGTGGCCTGACTTGTGCTGCGGCTTTTTCTGTCATTCTTAGGTTTAGCTCTGCTCCAGAAAGGGTCGTGAGCCAAACCGGAGCTCTCACCTAGAGCCAGAGGTGCCCTGTAGTTCCACAGGACTCGGGGACGATGCGGTGCCCTTGCAGGAGCCACCCACAAGCTGCCAGTGCCCCTCCAGGGGCTGCAGGAGCTGCTGAAGCAGGCGGAGCAGCTTGCCTGCGGTGGCAGGTTTCATTGCTGGAGTTTCTTTCTAAGCACATTAAATTCTGGATTTACAGTAGTTGCATCAAAGAGCAGGTCACTTCTCTTTGCACGTGGTGGCTGTAGAGCAGGCCCTGGTGCGTTTCTCTTGCAGAGGTCTGTGAGGGTCCTGGCTGGGGACCCTGGGAACAGAAGACACAAACTGCTTTCTCCGTAACTCTAACTCTGGCTCTGTCTCCTTCCAAGACGGTCTTCCACAGGAGGACGTTTGACAAGAGGGACTGAGAAAGAGGCCAAGAAATACTGAGAATGAGAACATAAGGTCAGAGTTAAGGCAATCGATAGAGACGATCTTTATTCCATCCTCCCCGCTCCTGGGGCCCTGTGTGACGGGCCAGGGCTGAGCGTGGCGAGGGGAGCTGTGCCCGAGCACTGCGTGCTGCAGAGGACGGTTCTGCTCCCGCAGCAGCAGTGTGCCCGCTTGCTGAGATACGGCCTTCTGCACAGCCCTCACCGAGGCGCCGTAGTTCGGCGGTGACAGTGACAGCAGAGCAGAGCGACAGCTTGCATTCGTACTGTCCCATGGGAGTAAGCGATGACCCTTGAGCTGGGGACCCAGGAACTTTGCTCTGCCCGGAGCGGCCCTGACCGTTACTTTGCCGTAGCATGCCTCTGAAGGCTGCCGTGAGGCCAGCAGCAGCTATCTTCTTGTTAAACATGAATGGATCCTTGAAGATCCGGTGTCCCAACACGCAGTAGCCTTTGCTAAGCTGAGCTGCAGGAGAGCGACCAGGCGTCTTGGCGTCTCTCTGACTTGAACTTCCCAGCCGCCCCCGGACAGAGCTCACGCAGCAGCAGATGCCGAGCAGTCGTTCCACTGAGCAGGAGCAGTGCGAGGACCCCGCAGCTCAGAGCTGCTGCTGAACGCTGAAATGGATTCATTGTCTGACATCCATTACCGCAATAAAGCTGACGCTAACTAATGAGAGGTGTACGTTTCTGATTAGTGATCCAGTGAGTCATAGCTAGCGATGCAAATGCCAGCTGAAGAACCGCATTAGTACCAGAGGCTGAACTCATGCGCTTCAGGGTGACTCACGCGTTAAATGTGCAACATTAAGCCCTGTGTTGAGGTGGCATTTTTGTGCAGTGTCCCCTTGTCCTGTGAGTGGCCGTGGCCATCCAGCCTCATCAGGCTCGTGTCATTCCTCATTGTGCGTAGTCACACTCAGCTCCCAAGCTCCCCCCTCTGCCGCCGGGGCCGGTGGGATGCTGATCGGCCGGCCCGTGAAGCTAAGTGTGAGCTCATGTTGACTCAAGCCAGAAGCATCTGAAGTGTCAACACGGTTCCAGTTTGGGGCTCCAGCTAATGCAGCCAAGAACCTGGGTTAGAGGGTGCTTTGCAAAGGGTTTTGTTTGTTTGCTTGTCTGTTTATCTTTAAGCAACAGCCAAACATGCCAAATGTATCATGTGAAGCAGAATTTTAGATGCAAAACTGAGTTTTTCAGGTGCTGTTCTGGAAACCCACAACTGCTTTGTATTTCTACAGATCTGAAAGAGAGAGAGAAGAAAAATAAGCCCTTTAGGCATTTAGCTCCTAGGGTAAAGCTACCTCTTTCTATATAAACTCATCAATTAATTCTGTTTCAGTTAAATGGTGTAACATTTCTGGTGCAAGCTTTCAGCCGCTGCAGATACAACCCCCTGTTTCCTTGTAGGCTTTTGGTCTCTTCATGGTGTCTAAACTCCTGCACAAAGCGGAGCTGAGCTTCCTTTCCGCAGCCAAGGGAATTGTCGG